GCCTAACTCTGAAGATTGAGAGAACTGCTGGGTATGGTGGCACATGCCTATGATATAGCACTTTGGAGGCTGAGACAGTTAGATAGATCGCAGTCTAGTTCAAGACCAGCCTAAACTACATAGGGAAACCCTATTTCACAAAAACAACAAGGGCTGGTGAGATAGTTCAGTGGACTGAAGCCCTGCTCAGGCAAGCTTAGGCAAGCGCAGGGACAGCACCACATGCTGTACCAGCCCCAGCCCTAGGGTGGGCTGAATCAGCTACAAAGTCACGGCAATGTGAGAGGCTGAAAACAGAAGGATCATCAGAAGTCTGAGCTGTGAATCCGAGCTGTCTTCGACATGAGACCTTGTAACAACCAAATACATTAAAAAAAAAAAATACTCAAACCAAAAAGAAAACTAAAAGAAGTTATTAGAACGTTACAGATTCTGAAATATATAAATATGCAGACTTGTTACTAACAATTTTTTTGGTGTTGTCTGTACTGCCCAATATTTAATACATTGTTTTGTAATTATTCACTTGAGCGTCCTGTGCACTGATTTCAAGCATTTTTTTTGCCATAATTTTATTGATAAACAAATAGCAATGAGACAGTTTCTTTTTAAAATTTTATTTATTTATTTATTTATTTTGTGTGTGTGTGGCCAGCTCAGCCCATCAGGGGGCGGGGCTGGCTGGCATGTGGTGCTGGGGGATTGAACCGTGGTCCCTGTGCTTTGCTTATTTTAGCTTGTTCTAAGTAGGTGTTTTAGACCACTGAGCCATCTCACCAGCCCCATGAGACAGTTTCAAATCAAATCGGTAGGACAGTTTCAATAATTAACACACTGCATACGTTCTTCTTAGTGGTTAATTGCTGTACAAGATGCGGACTTGATATCCTATTTACAAACACCATTAGAACAAATCATTTTATTCATTAAGAGAATGTAACTATATATCTATCCCAACCACTTTGAATACACAGATACGAAATGGACATTCATCTGTGTACCCTTTTTTTGTTAAGTTCCATTATTTGAATATTATAGGTGTGTAAATTCAGCAAAATATTCTAAAAGAGTCCAGTATCCCATAATAGTATTGAGTCTTTCGCTTAACTGGCAATGTTAGAAATTGTTGACCTGAGTCCCCCACAGCTCAACATAACAGCATTGCTTTATTTCTTATATTTCGTTTTTATACTTTCCTTCTGGATGGTTAAAACTAAGGTAAAGCAGGACCTATGCAACAAGAGTTGTAGCTTTTGGGTCTGATAAGGTCAGTGAAATCCCCTCAGGATTTATCCTGAGATC